CAAGATCTAAAAGTATCAGTAAAAAAAATATCAAGAAAATTATACAAGCAGTCTACTTAACTAAGTGGAGACTCTTAAATAAAACCAGAAACAATTTTGATGATCATTTAATCAAGAAAATTCACTGATTCACTATCTTTAAATATTTTCAAATTATCAAAATGCACAAAAATATATGAATTGAAAGGATCCATACCAGAGAAAATTCTTTTTAAGCCTATAAAATGAAGAAATCCCTACAAAAATCAAACTATACCATAAAGTATCTTTAATATATAAAGATAATATGTGTAAAAAATATAAAAATCGAAAAACAAACATATATCTTTAATTTGCATATTGTATAAAACAATGGTAGAATAATACATAATCAATACTATAATTGTAAATTACTGCAATGGCAGAATAATATATAATCAATACTATTATTGCAAACATTACTAAATATTCACCTAAAAACAATATTTCACAATAGATAAACATACTGAAAGAAAAAACCTCTCTACGCTATATGAGAGATACTTGAAGTGCACTATTAGAGAAGCTTTTCTTAAAGAGATAACTCAAAAACCATTAAAGAGACAACCCCAGAAAGACAGTCAAGACATGATTATTACTTAGAAATCAAAAGGAATATCACCAACTATTTACAAAAGTCATGGAAAAAAAGATATGAAAACTTTCAACTTTGGAAAGTACAGCAGGACATTACCTAGAAGATGGAGAAAAATGCAAATACCATGCCCGAGAAATAGAGCTATGGTTCAAAGAAAGAGAAAACTACATCAAGGAACAATTCATCCAGCTGGTAAACAAATACATGAACAAAATCATTCAAAACATATCAACACTATATTATTTTGGAATTTTCTTATAGCACTAATCCAGCCTTTGCAGGTTAGCACCCTCTAAAAAGAGGTGGCAAAAAGCCGCAATGTAAGACCAGTTGAAAGACTGATTATTTATCGAACTATATTTGGTAAGCATGGGCGGCTATAGCATCTCATGAACATATCTACCCCATTTCAAATAAAGTAAGGCTGAGCCAGCGTTTAAAAAAAAAATTTCAATTTCAATTTTGAATGTGCATTTATGCGAATAATTTATTACAATACAGTATATCTGAAATAATTTTATTGAATTTTATTTAGATCATCCAAGAAATCTTTTTATTAATAAAGTAATAATAAATAAAGTAATTATAAATAACTTAATATATACTTGATTTTATTTTTCTTTTATTAATTTTTGATTTTATTTATTTATTTATCGTGTGTGTGTTTTAAAATTCTCGATTCACCTGAAAATTTAATCAATAAAAATTTTTTTTTCGAATTATTATAGCCATAACTTATTAAACCTATCTATCTGTTTAAATTTTGAGATATAAAATCACAAAGTTTCGACACTATTACTACATATCTCTAATAAAACCGAATTAATATTGTACCAAATTGTTAATGTTTTCCCTTATAACATGCCTACTTCGAATATAGTTGACTTTTCTATTTATTATATTAGAAGCGACGCAATCGACGAGACGTGAATGAACGTCATTTGTATCGCAAAGAACTATGGGTAGACAAAAAAGACCAAGTCGACTATTGATAAGTATTATAATGGTAGAGAAGATTAATTTTAAATATTGGTTAAAGTAACACGAAGTACAAAAACAAATAATAGTGTCTAAAGTTTAAAGTTGTGGGATTTGAATTTTCCCTCCAGAACGGACCATCTAAAATCTTTTAAGTACATTTCTTATTTATACCGACATTTTGACGATTTTCATTTTTAATTACTTTGACATTTAAAAATAAAAAAATAGAAAGCATATAAGTAAATAAAATAAAATAAAGTTGAATAAATGTGTACATTACACTACGAAATTGTCATACATTTGTTGTTTTACTTGTTCAATTTTGTGTTATTTGAATTCAAGTTTATATAGTAGTACATATGTTGTACTGTTACAAAGATAAACGCCGCAACTTTGATTGGGTAGAGAATATAATAAATGATGCATTAAATAAACCGATAGACTGGGGGTTTTTTTTTGATACTATATACGTAACTAGTAAATTTTAATAACGTCATTAAAGGAGCGATGGATAATAATGACGATGGAATCCGAAAGATTCACCTAAGTAATTCATATGATCTGCCTAATGCATCTGTGTCTGCAGCAGAGTTGGCAGGCGAGAAAGCTATTGATTTTATCGAACCTTTCATTCCTTTATTCGGCAATATTAAAAAAATAGCCGATGACTTAGTGAAAATATACGATAACGCTAAGTGTAATCGTAAAATCTGCGCGGCCTTAATCGACCGTGTAGATATTGTCGAACAGGCAGTTAAATATTTGCGGCGACATAAACAAAAAAATGAAAAGAAGTTTCGCAATCAATTATACTACAATGCATGGATTAAGGTTTGCCATGTGTTAGAAAAAATAAAAGAGTTTGCTAAAAATGTAACACAACAATCGGGTTGGCGAAAGTATGCAAACGCCAATGCTATTAGAGAGATTTTTAATAAGATAATTAATGAATTCGAGTCAGTTTGTAGCGATTTACAACTTGCAATGGCAGTTTATTCAGTAGAAAAAAGAGCCCAAGAATATGAAGATATTAAAGAAGATATTGATAATATAGAGAAGGTTTGTGTCACTGTTTAAATGAGATTTATTCCCTTTTTTAGTATTAAAACATTTATTACTTTGCTGCTATTTAGGCAATGGGTGAAATTAAAAGCGATCTGATAAATTTTAGCGATACTTTAACTATCCTTTCGTCCAATGTGGAGCAATTGAAGGTCAAAATAAAAACATCTGGTGTCGGCGCACGCGTATCAAATCCATTAAACGAAGTGTTCAAAGCGCGAAAAATTAAACATTCGGATCTTAAACAACCAGACGGCGGAAGTGATAATAGTAGGGGAGAAAATGGACAGATTATTAAAAAAATTTATTTAAATTCTATTGAGGTTGCTTGCAAAAAAATTCAGAGTATAGAACAAAACGAAACCGCCGCATCCCAAAAAATTCAAACTGAATTGGTCATTCTCGATTTGTTAGGGAAATGCGATTACATCATTACGTTTTATGGTCTATCTGAAATAGAGAATGAAGAAACTGTAATGGTATTTGCTTGGCCAAAATACGGAAATTTAAGATCCTTTTATGAAAATTACGTTCTCGATTGGCACCTAAAGTTGACGTTTATCCGAGATATATTCAGAGGTCTTCTTTTTATCCATAATAATGATATTCTTCATCACGATGTTCGCTGCGAGAATATCCTGGTTAGTCGAAATAATTTAAACTTTCTTCACGTAAAAATTTTATATTTCTATTGATTTCAAACTATAATGCATAGGTCATGGAAAAAAATGTGGTAAAAATCTCTAATTTTGAAATGTCCCGCAGTGTACAAGGAATATCTGCGCCTATTCGAAATTTAAGTGATTACATTCCTTGGATGTCTCCAGAAAAAATCAAGGGGGAACGTTATACAATTTATAGCGAAATGTTTAGGTGCATAATTATATGTAAATTACCATTTAATTATGAGATTATCTTAACCTTTCTTAAATTAATAGCTTCGGAATGCTTATCTGGGAACTTTGTTATGAAAAGATTCCATATAAAAATAAGAGTGTACAAAATATTCAAGAGCACGTTAAAAACAAAGGAAGAGAAACTTTATACCTTTACGATGCTTTGATTCATAAAGAACTAATAGAAATTATAAAAAAAGGTATCAAATTATTAAATTAAATAGCACATTTCCTTTTATAATCCTTGTTTAACACTGCTAACATTATTAGTATGGAAGGATGATCCATTTGAACGTCCATCAGACATCCAAGTTCACTATATACTTAAGGAATTGTGCGAAAAATACGAGCCCGTATATTCCTCACCTAAGATTCGTGGAAATATGAACTTAAATAATATTACTGTATCAGGGTTGGATCTGAAGGCAACAGAGCAACACCTTACCAACTTGGAGATTTCTGAACGTTGTGATGAAGAAATGCCGCTAATAAACGTCGTTGTACCATTTGAAGATGGGATCAAATTTCACAAAGAAAAGAAATATAAGGATTCTTGGGAATGTTTTAATATTCATGCGGAACTGGGGTATAGTATGGCAAAGTATTGGAAGGGTTACTATCTAATGTCAGGGTATTATGTAGAAAAGGATCTTAAAGAAGCTATAAAATATTTTAAGGAGGCGGCTGATGAAGGGGTAATTGATGCACAACTTCGTTATGCATTTGCCTTACTTGAGCAAAAAAATTTTGATGTTCAGGTCGTGCTGGATTATATGACGCAGGCAGCTAATGCAGGAAATCCAACAGCTTTATACAATATTGGTGATATTTATTATAATGGGAAGTTAGGAGTTCAGGTCGATAAAAAGAAGGGAATTGAATTTCTTAAATTGGCCGCATTAAAAGGTCAGCCGAGCGCAAATGAAGATTTAAGGAATACGGATTTATCGGTTTATGAATGATAGTTAACATTCAAATATGCCATCATGCTACCGTACTGCGTACAGTATAAGAATATAAGATAACTTGCATATTAAATAATTTTATTAACAGCAACATATAAATATATACAGTATATAGCTTATAATAATAGCCTAAACATATATATTTTTCATAAAATAATATCCTAAATATATATATTTTACATATTTAGCTTGTAATAATAGCCTAAACATATATATATTACATATTTAGTATGTAATATTACATAAACATGTATTAAAATATTATATTATATACAGTATATAGCATATACTATTATTTCACGTGCTAAAATTTTACATTTTGTATATCATGTTTTAAAATCAAGAAGTATGACTATTTAATTAATTTCTTATTTCAGATCGAGGTCATGAATTAAATTCATAATTTCGAACATAAATTATTCATAAAATTTGGATTTTAATAAAAATTTTCGATATTTTAAGGGTAAAATCACGTACCTGATTATTTTGTAACACGTAAATCCACATGCGTATGACTTGCCTTAAATCTATATGCATTTTTTTATACTGTACATGCATCAGGGATAGGCTCTAGCTCCTCTTGGTTATTTTGAATGGTTGGCATGCCCTTAGGAATGATTTGCTCCTATGTTACCATGTCTTCATCTATTAGGAGTCAATTATTCTTTCGGTTTATCTATTCTATTATTTAATCATTCTAGATTTGCTAGAATGCATTTTTGGGAATCCAGTGAACCTCCTACTTCAGATTTCATTTCATTTCCAGAGTATCTATGATAACTGAGTCTTTGATTTTTTATTGGTTCTCTATTACTTCCAGTTATAGGGTATCTATTGGTCCTGTTATTTTATTGTC